ACATTTTTTTTCTAAAATTTATTTTGTTAAATTTTCTATTCATTTTATATACTATCCACAGATCCTCCTCTCTCCCTCCCCCAGCCTTTTACCCCAACCCATCTCCCATTCCCACCTCCTCCAAGGCAAGGTCTCCCATTGGGAGTCAGCAGACCCTGGTACATTCAGTTGAGAAGGTCCAAGCCCCTCCTCCCTGCACCAAGGCTGTGCAAGGTGTCTCACCATAGGCACTAGGCTTCAAAAGGCCAGCTCATGCACCAGGAATGGATCCTTATCCCACTGCCTGGGGACCCCCTAAGCAGTTCAAGCTAAACAACTGTCTTGCCTATCCAGAGGGCCTAGTTATCACATTTTCTTTATTCATTCTTTAGTTGAGGGACATCTAGGTTGTTTCCGTGTTCTGGCTATTATAAATAACGCTGCTATGAACATAGTTGAGTAAGTGTCATTGTGGTATGATTGAACATCCATTGAGTATATGCCCAAGAGTGGTAGTGCTGGGTCTTGAGGTAGATTGATTCCCAATTTTCTGAGAAGTCACCATACTGATTTTCAAAGTGTCTGTACAAGTTTGCACAAGCAGTGAAGGAGTGTTCCTCTCACTCCACATCCTCTCCAACATAGGCCGTCATCAGTGTTTTTGATCTTAGCCATTCTGACAGGTGTAAGATGGTATCTCAGAGTTGTTTTGATTTGCATTTCCCTGATGACTAAGGATGTTGAGCAATTTCTTAAATGTCTTTTAGCCATTTGAGATTCTTTTGTTCAGAATTCTGTTTAGATCTGTACCCCATTTTAAATTGGATTATTTGGTATTTTATTGTCTAGTTTCTTGAGTTCTTTATGTACTTTGGATATCAGTCCTCTTATCAGGAGCCATTAACATGAGATATTACAGGCTGCAGGATTATGCAGTAGGGATTCAGCCATCATTGATAAAGGTCAACCTATCAGAACTAAGGGTTCTTGTGGCGGAAACCATCACACAAGGCATTTTGGAATTATTGCCTTTTGAATGAATTGGCTGTTTCTTATCGTAAACTTCTTGTACAATTACACTATGATATCTCCCCATTGCCATGCATTTTCATGTAATGTATACATGTAACTTCATGGTTACATCTCAGTCTTATGGGCACATATGTGTGTGGGTGGTCAGGAAAATGGCTTTTCATTTATCTGTATAATTTTGATATATAGAAAATATACTAGGATATGCTTCATAGCCAGATCCATAGTCCCATGAGACTGCAAACACTTAAAGCCTGCTTTGTTACTTTTGCTCAGACTAACACAGAAAATGAAAATCTCTCCTCAGTATAGCACAAACTACACACATTTAGCTCATTTTAACCTCTGAGAAAGTTCAAACTAGACTAAAGACCTTGTAAATAGATCATATGTAGCTAGCGTTTTCCTGCCTTGCCCACAGTCAGGACAAATCTCTCTCACCTGCCAGTTCCACAGCCTCTCAGACCCAAGTAAGCACAGAGACTTATATTGCTTTCAAACTGTATGGCTGTGGCAGGCTTCTTGCTAACTGTTATTATAGCTTAAATTAATCCATTCTCACAAATCTATACTCTGCCATGCAGCTCGTGGCTTACCGGCATCTTTACATGCTGCTTGTCAGGATAGCGGCTGGCAGTGACTCCTTCTGCCTTCCTGTTCTTTTATTTCTCCTCTCTGTTAGTCCTGCCTATACTTCCTGCCTAGCCACGGCCAATCAGGTTTTATTTATTGACCAATCAGAGCAACACATTTGCCATACAGACCATCCCCCAGCACAGCCAAGTGCAGACCATCTCAGACACCTGCAGTCAGGCCTGTGGTCCTAATCATCCTTTATGTGGACTGCTGGGTAAAGCCATGAGGAACCTGAGAACGGGCTCCCACAGGACATACAGAACATCCCACAGCACTTTCCCCCCTTTTTTTTCAGAAAGGAAGGTTCTAATCTTAACAAAGTAAAATTACATATAATTTGGGAATTTGGGCGTAGCTTCTCTTACTACTTCCTGCTGGAGGGGGACGCTGTATCTTATGGGGATACAAAGAAAATTTTAGGATTATGGAACAGTCCATGAGACTGTATTGTCTGAGCCAGTTGCCTTGAATCTGATCTGGACATTGGATCATCTGGGCCATGGTGTCATCGGAGACCTTTCAGGGGGTCTTGGCTGGTCAAACCTGATGTATCTTAATCTGGAACAAATCCATAGCCTTTGGCTTTCTGTGGGAACAAAAGCAGTGTCTCCTTTCCAAAGCAACACATCCTTAGACATAAATTTCAAAATTGAAATACCTTTAAAATATACACATTGATTTAACTGAGCAGTCTTTACAATCAAATGCCTTTCTGCAGCTAAAAATCCCAAAGACAACACAATCCAGATTTTCTGTGTAATATTCATCTTCAGTGGCTTAATTTTTATATTAATTTTACTGTCTCTTTAAAGACTTTATTTTTTAAAAACTATTTTTTATATAAGTATATATTCCTTTTTCTCTCTCTCTTCCAAGCCTACATACATTTTTACACACATTGTAAAGCATTTAAAGTCTTGTTCCATCTGAATCTGTCTTATTGTGAATCTATTGCTTTAAACTGCAGCATTTGTAAGCTGAAACAGTGCTATGGCTGCTGACTCTGCCCACTTCAGCTTCCCAAAATAGCGGTGGTAGTTTACCACCAGCTCTGGGAGCTATTGTGGGTCTATGCTTTTATCCAAGCAGTGTGTAGCCCAGAAACCTCTTTTTTGTTTTGTACTAGCAAAGGCTAAATCCACCATGCAGCTTAATGTGCCACTTGCAGAGGCCTTATTCCAGACCGAGTGCACACGCACCAGTAGCTCAAACTGGCAAGCTGCCGCTCATTTGAGAGAGATAATTAGGAAGCTGTTTTTAGCTCCGTTTTAGAATCTTTTCTCAGGTTTTAGGTGGAAACTCTTGCCAACTCATTGGGCACCATTTGTAGCTAGAGTTTTCCTGCCTTGCCGACAGTCAGGACAAATCTCTCTCATCCGCCAGTCCCACAGCCTCTCAGAACCAACCAAGTAAACACAGAGACTTATATTGCTTTCAAACTGTATGGCTGTGACAGGCTTCTTGCTAACTGTTCTTATAGCTTAAATTAATCCATTCCCACAAATCTATATGCTGCCATGAGGCTTGTGGCTTACCGGCATCTTTTCAGGCTGCTTGTCAGGGTAGAGGCTGGCAGTGACTCCTTCTGCCTTCCTGTTCTTTTATTTCTCCTCTCTGTTAGTCCCGCCTATACTTCCTGCCTAGCCACGGCCAATCAGGTTTTATTTATTGACCAATCAGAGCAACATATTTGCCATACAGACCATCCCCCAGTACAGCCAAGAGCAGACCATCTCAGACACCTGCACTCAGGCCCGTGGTCCTAATCATCCTCTATGCGGACCTTCTGGGTAAAGTCACAAGGAACCCAAGATCAGGCTCCCACAGGACATACAGAACATCCCACAGCAATCATAAGTTTAAAACTTTGTAGTTATGCACAAGGTCAGAGTCACAGGTATCTTACCAAGATTACTAACACAAAGTACCCCAAGAAAAGCCTGCCAATTCTTCACTTGCCAAGTCTGCTGATAAAAAACTATGTCTCCCCGGGTGGTGGTGGTGCGTGCCTTTAATCCCAGCACTCGGGAGGCAGAGACAGGCAGATCTTTGTGAGTTTGAGGCCAGCCTGGTCTCCAAAGCAAGATCCATGAAAGGCACAAAGCTATACAGAGAAACCCTGTCTTGAAAAACCAAAAAAAAAAAAAAAGCTATGTCTCAGTTTGTCACACTGGGCACTGCACCTCCTCCCTCTGGTCCTGAGACCTTGGAACCTTGCATTACCATGGTAATGGTTCTGCTCTTTATTTTGAAGCTTTTCTCAAGATTACAAGGGTTTCCTGTTAGAAATGTATGGATAGTCAAGCAAGACAGGAGATAAGAATGAGAACTGAAAAGAAGCTGTAGATTTAGAGGAGCTTACTTAGAACAATAAAGAGATGGATTGAAAGAGCATGGTGTGTGTAGATTAATTTTCCTTTCCCTCATATTAGATCCTTAGCTGTTGTAGAGTCTTCTTAGAACTCTGGGAGAAAGCCTTTGAGGTCAGCACTTATAGGTTTTTGTTAACTTGTATTAGATGTGGGGTTGATGAAGATCTTTTCCCATTCTGTAGGCCGTCATTTTGTCTTTTTTTAATGTAAGGCAAACTTTGCCTTACAGAAGCTTTTCAGTTTCAGGTGTTGGACCCCAAAATTTAGGGTCTCAAGTGGGCACCCCAAGAACCCAGACTCCAGTCCAGTTGATGCAATAGCAGGAGGATTTATTAAGCTTCTATATAGAAGGGCAAACTCTGCTCCTAAGAGCAAGAGCCACATCTTTTTTTTTTTTTCATTTTTCGAGACAGGGTTTCTCTGTGTAGCTTTGCACCTTTCCTGGAGCTCACTTGGTAGCCCAGGCTGGCCTCGAACTCACAGAGATCCTCCTGGCTCTGCCTCCCGAGTGCTGGGATTAAAGGCGTGCGCCACCACCGCCCAGCTTCAAGAGCCACATCTTACTGCAGCCTCATAAGGGCTTATAAAGGAAAAACCCACAAACCCCACAAGATTACAATTCCCATACAGTTTCGTTTCACAAGATCATGGTCTGGGTACAGAGTGATCACAGAGGGGGTACAGTTATGTCAACAGGTACATTTTTTCTGAAACCTCAAGGGGGGGTATCAAGGCGGGAGTGGAGTTTACACACAGGTCATGGTGGTCCTTCCTAGAACACCTGCAACTATCCCAGTCACAGTTGAGCACATCTCTTAACAGAAATCTCTTTACATTGTTATATGGTTGCAGGGGAGATTGAACAATGGCTAAGTCAAACCGCCCTTGGAACTAGATTTTTAGTTTCTCATTTCCTGGTACTTGAAGTTTCTCCTTTCCTGAGGCTTGGGGGTGTAAGCCTGAAGGGCTAGGGTCTTTCACAGGAGATCCCATTTATTGATTGTTGCTCTCAGTGTCTGTGATGCTGGTGTTATATTTAGGAAGTGGTCTCCTGTGCCAATACATTCAAGGCTACCTCCCACTTTCACTTCCATCAGGTTCAGTATACTTGGGTTCATGTACTCACTCATAAGTGGATACTAGATGTAAAGCAAAAGATGACCAGACCACAATCCACAGCTCCAGAGAAGCTAGGTAACAAGGAGGACCCTAAGAGGGATGCATGGATCGCCCTGGGAAGGGGAAAGAGATGAGATCTGGGTAAACTGGGAGTGGGGAGGGCAAGGGGATGAGAACATGAGGGAATGGGATGGTCATTTTAGGGGAGGGGCAGAGTGGGAGAGCAATGAAAGAGATATCTTGATAGAGGGATCCATTACAGAGCTAGGGAGAAACCTGATGCTATGCAATTTCCCAGAAATGCACCAGGATTACACCAGCTAAGACCCCTAGCAATAGTGGAGAGGATACCTGAACTGGCCTTCCCCTGTAATTAGATTGGTGACTACCCTACCTGTCACCATAGAGCCTTCATCCAGTAACTGATGGAAGAAGATGCAGAGATCCACAGCCAAGCACCAGGCCGAGCTATGGAGTCCAGTAGAAGAGATGGAAGAGGGATTATATGAGCAAGGGGTGTCAAGATCATGATGAGGAAACCCACAGAGACAGATGACCCGAACTTGTGGGAGCACAGGGACACTAGACCAACATCTGGGGAGCCTGCATGGGACTGAACTAGGACTCCTAGTTCATGTGGGTGACAGTTGTGTAGCCTAGTCTTTGGGGCCAATGGCAGTGGGACCAGGATCTATCCCTGGTACATGAGCTGGCCTTTTGAAGCCCATTCCATATGGTGGGATGCCTTGCTTACTCTTGATGTGGTGGGGAGGGGATTGGTCCTGCCTCCACTGAACATGCCAGGTTTTGTTGACTCCCCATGGGAGGCCTTACCCCTTCTGAGGAATGGATGGGAGTGGGTTGAGGGGAGGGAGGGGGAATGGTGGTTGGTATGTAAAATGAATAAAAAGCAAATTAATTAAAAAAATTTCCGTGTGTATTCTTTGGTGGATTTACCTTGTAACATTCTGGAGGCACCAAAGAAATCCTTAGAGATTGAGACACTGAGACACTAGGAGTCTCAGACCTCCTCTGTGGTGACATTTCCTAGAGTGTGAGCACTATGTTTCAGGGCCCCACAAACTTCTCCTGCCTGATGCAGGATGCCTCAGGCATGCCCCTGATGCCTCAGAGGCTCACCTGGATCTGTCTCCTCCAGAGGTGAGTCTGTTTCTGGTGCCTTCAAGCTTGGACACTTAAGAAAGACTGAATGCAGCCAAAATTCTAGAATCCTGAAGAGATGTTACTGGATCCCCTGGTTTAAGTCTGTGTGGTGGCTACCCATGGTTGTCCTTATTGTCATCTTTGTATGTGTCTGTGTTTTTGTCAATTCTGTTGGCTGGGAGAAAGGGAGCTGTGATGGGAGAGGGAATGAGCAGTCCCAAGATACCATTTAAGTGTATGTTAAAAAACTTCAAGCGCTGGACAGTGGTGGCTCTATGCCAGATGGTGGTGGTGCATGCCTTGAATCCCAGCACTTGTGAAGCAGAAGTGGGTGGGTCTCTCTATGAGTTCAAGGCCAGCATAGTCTACAGAGCGAGTTTCAGGATAGCTGAGGCTACACAGATAAACCCTGACTTAAAAAAATGAAAAAAAAAAAGCCAAATGAAACCAAACCAAACCCAAATCAAAACAAACAAAAACTCAAACTTCAAGGAAGGTTTTGTTGAGGACAGATATAGTGTCAATCTCTCATCCAGGAAACCCTGGATCTTCTGTGAAATAGATTGATCCTCTTTTGCAGCCAGATGGTCCAATGACAGATCTCTGGACCTTCAAATGGTTTAGGCCATTTGGAATTTCCCTACATTGACAATTGGCTTTCTCTGGTACAAGACTTACCTTCTTGGCTTAAGACCTGTGCCCTCTTGCTGGGAACTCAAATCTCTTGGTTCTGCTGGGTTGAGCAAAGCCTCCACTTATTCTCTAAGTCTTGCCAAAAGAGGAAGCTGACTTCTCCTTCCATATGTTCCAGCAATCCCAGGCCCCTGAATCTGGGGAGAGGGAAATAGTTGCCCCAGCTCTGTGGAGAGGAGGCAGTCTCTTCTACCTCTGGTCCATCCCACCCCCCACATGGAGTGGTTCTTGCTATCAGGGCTCCTGGTAGAATTTCCCTTGGGCAGAAACAGCTCCCATATTCCCACTATGGTGGTTTGAAACAAAATGGTCCCCAAAGGGAGTGTCACTATTTGGTGATGTGGTCTTGGAAGAGTTGTGTCACTGTGGGGATGGTCTTTGAGGTCTCTTTTGCTCAAGCTTTCCTCAGTGTGATTGTTTAGTCAACTTCCTGTTGCCTGCAAGATGTAGGACTGTCAGCTATTCCTCCAGCACCATGTCTGCCTACTTGCTGCCGTGCTGATAATGGACTAAACCTCTGAAACTTTAAGCAAGCCCCCCGTATTCCCTAGAAGTCAGTGAAGCATACAGAAACTTGATAAAACAATAGTCTTAGACATTAACATTGTATACTCTGTATAGCTTGCAAACATCCTTGTATCCTGGCAACTACAGTTGTATTCTTCCTGGCAACCACCATTATATTCTGTTTCTGAAAAGGGTATAAAAAGTCTGATTGCTTGTAATAAACTTGTCTCAGCCTCATTTTTGCTGGGACCCCTCTAACCTGGCCTGGTTTTAATTCCTATGGATCATATCAGGAGACCCTGGCTTAGAAAGTAAGCAGTGGTGCTTTCAATCATGCATCTTACTTTGATTCCTACTCAGCCCCAGCCTGTATTCTTGTGACCTGCCCCTGTTGGAGGAATACTTCCTCCAACCAAGTCTGGGAAAAAGTCTTGAAAATGACACTTAAACTTTGGGATAACTACAGGTTTTGCTATAGTGGTTCAGGGGAGTCTGGGTTGAGAATAACTCACCAGGACTGGCTATGCACCAAGCATTAATTGTCATCCACTTACTAAATACTGTTTGACCTGTACTGACTATGAGCTGGGAAGTCAAGTAGAGAGTTGCTAAACACATGAACAGGCTATAGGAAGCAGGGTTCCTTATGCCCTGCCATTCCCCTTGAACCACTCCCATGATCCTAGTTCTAAAACTGGGCACCAAGGAGTAATGACTAGTGCAGGATCACAAAGAATTCAACAAAAGGGTAGAGACCATCCATTACATGGTTCTTAGCCCCTACCCCCTTCCAATTCTTCTTCAACCAGAGAAACAGATATATACAGTACTGGACTTAAAAGATGCCTTCTTTTGCCTTTTGTAGGCATCTTTAAGACAGCCCATTTTGGCCTTTGAGTGAACTGACCAAAAGGGAGGACTTATGGGCCAACTGACCTGGACTAGGTTACCACAAGGTTTAAAAAACTCCCACACTCTTTGATGAGGCCTTAAGTGCTGACCTTCCTGACTTTTTGTCCAAGGTATCCAGAGAGAACCCTATTACCATCTGTGGATGACTTCCTATAGCTTCAAAAATAGAAGAGAAATATAAGATGGCTACTGAGGTGGTACCAAGTCTCGGCCAGGGAAGGTCCAACTATATGTAATCCATGTCACCTATGTGGAAAAATTTTAAATTAATTTGTTTTTAAATTCATTTTACATAACAACCACAGTTCCCCCTCATCCCACTCCCACCCTACTTCTCCCAACCCACTTCCATCCACTCCTCAGAAAGGGTAAGGCCTCCCATGGGGAGTCAACAAAACCTGGCATGTTCAGTGGAGGCAGGACCAATCCCCTCCCCACCACATCAAGAGTAAGCAAGGCATCCCACCATATGGAATGGGCTTCAAAAGGCCAGCTCATGTACCAGGGATAGATCCTGGTCCCACTGCCATTGGCCCCACAGACTAGGCTACACAACTGTCACTCACATGCAGAGGTCCTAGTTCAGTTCCATGCAGGCTCCCCAGATGTTGATCTAGTGTCCCTGTGCTCCCACAAGTTCGGGTCATCTGTCTCTGTGGGTTTCCTCATCATGATCTTGACACCCCTTGCTCATATAATCCCTCTTCCATCTCTTCAGCTGGACTCCTGGAGCTTGGCATGGTGCTTGGTTGTGGGTCTCTGCATCTGCTTCCATCAGTTATTAGATGAAGGTTCTATGATGACAGTTAGGGTAGTCACTGATCTGATTACTGGGGTAGGGCTGTTCAGTCATCCTCTCCACTCTTGCTAGTTGTCTAAGCTGGGGTCGTTCTTGAGGTTTGTGGGGAATTTTCCTAGCACCAGATTTCTCCCTTACTCCATAATTTATCCCTCTATCAAGATATCTCTTTCATTGATCTCCCACTATGTCCCTCCCCCAGCTCGACCATTCTGTTCCCTCATGTTCTCATTCCCTCATCCCCACCCCTCTATTGTCCCCCTCACCCCCAGCTTACTCTGGAGATCTCATCTACTTTTCCTTCCCAGGTGATCCATGTGTCGCTCTTAGAATTCTCGATGTTAGTTAGCTTCTCTGGAGCTGTGAGTTGTAGTCTGGTTATCCTTTGCTTTACATCTAGTATCTGCTTATGAGTGAGTACGTACCATGTTTGTCTTTCTGAGTTGGGGATACCTCACTTAGGGTAATATTTTCTTGCTTCATCCATTTGCCTGCAAATTTCATGATATCACTGTTTTTTTATAGCCAAGTAATACTCCATTGCGTATTTGTACCACATTTTCTTTATTCACTGTTCAATGGAAGGGCATCTAGGTTGTTTCCAGGTCCTGGCTATTATGAATAATGCTGCTATGATCATAGTTGAACAGATGTTTTTGTGGTGTGCTTTATCATGCTTTGGGTATATGCTCAACAGTAGTATCATTGGGTCTTGAGGTAGATTGATTTCCAATTTTCTAAGAAGTCACCATACTTATTTCCAAAGTTGCTGTACAAGTTTGCATTCCTACAGCAGTGAAGAAGTGTTCCCCTTACCTCATGTCCTCTCCAACATAGGCTGTCATCAGTGTTTTGAGCTTATCCATTCTGACAGGTGTAAA